CCCCCGCGGGGCGGCGGGCAGCAGCGGCAGCAGCAGCGCCAGGAGCGCGGGGGCTGCGCGGGACATCGCTCCGGGCTCCGCGCGCGCCGGCCGGGGAAGCGGCGCCGCCTCTTGCGGGAGCCCCGCGCTGCCTGCCCGGGGTCCGGCGCGCAGCCCGCAGTCCAGCCTGCCACGCACGTGTGATGACACCCTGGTCTCCGAGAGCAGCTCCCAGCCCGTTCCGGGGAAACCGGCTTCGGGCAGCTGGTCTTATCTTGCTCCGCCTCGCCTTTGCGGAGCAGAGAAACTCTCTAGCAGTGGTGGCGTCGAGCAAAGGATGCACAACAAAACAGAAACTAAACACAGAGGGCCCTGAACTTTGGAGATGCTGAAATGCAGTGTTGATTGAGCAGACCAGGTTTTTTGGATAGACGTGATTGCTTTGATGAGACCCACTCCAATAGTTGAACAAAATTCTTCTTAGCGAGCTTTTGGGTAGAAATCCCCTTCGTCAGGCCAAGGAAGCGTCCGCAGTTGGCGCATGCTCTTCCTGGATGGCATGAGTGTTGATGTGAGCAGTGTTTTTCAACCTGTGGGGCAGGACCCAAAGGTGGGCCACAGGTATATATGAAGAGTGTTGATGTGAGCAGTGTTTTTCAACCTGTGGGGCAGGACCGAAAGGTGGGCCACAGGTATATATGAAAGGGTGGTGGATACATTTTCAAAGCTGGATTTTCCTTTCAAGGAGAAAACTGTAGGAAACCATGGCTTTTCCCTTGCAGGCTGGCAGAGTTCCAGTCTGGAAGGGGCTGCTTGGAGTCCCCCACGGCCCACACACCCAGCCCCTGCTCCTCACACAGGGCGACTGGGGAACTGGCTCAGGAGTGAGGGGCACTGGGAAAGCCGTTTCATTCATCTCTGCTTAACTCAGGGAATCCCTACTCCAATTCCCACGCACAAGAACAAAGCGATAAGAAATAGAACACCGGTTGCCTGAGGACGAGATATCATTGACAAGCATCCTACCAGGACTTGTCTTGAAGATTTATCCTGGTCAAAAATTCCCGAGTTATGCTGAAGTGACTGTGTTTTTGTTTCTTTTCCATTTCCTAATCTAGAAGCCATTTCTGAACAGTTCAAACCGTGTTTTGTGGTTGGCCATGCATTCAAATGTCACCACCAGCTTCTATGACCTTTAGTGTGAAATACCCCTCACAGACAACTTGTAGAGGAACAAAAGGAACCTGCCAAGAAAGCTGACCCCTGGTTAGGATTAGACCCTTATGGATATTCTTATAATCTATATCAAATAAATTTGGATAAAAATATGGAGCTAGGATACCAAATGAATGGGACTATCTCTGCAGCGTGCTCAAAGTTCTTCAACTTCGGCGGAAGTCGCACGGAATTTTAAACGGCCAGCGAGCCCATTACTACCCGCCACGTGTGAATAATTTAGCACTGGCCAATGGCCGGACACAAATTTGCATTCGAATAGCGGGAACTCGTTGCACCGTGCATTTCTGTGCTGCAAAGAAGAAATGCACCCTGCAAAGAAAGCTGCAAATGGCGGGAACTCTCTCCTGCACGTGGGTTCTCAATTGCAGCAGAACACTCTGCCGTGCAAAGGAGCTCTCATGTGGCAAGGAAATTCCACTGTGCCGAGGCAGCAAAATCACTGGGTTATGACAAAGTCCTTCCAAATCAATAGGATTGCTATTTATACTATAAATATATGAATGTAGCTGTATTACTCATCCATATTGATTGAGTACAATTCAGACTCAATGATCTAGTGAGGTCTCTTCTGACCCTAACAACTATGAAACTATGAAACTACAAAATTCTTGGTTATTTTTGATGAAAATAGGGTAAATAGGACCCCACAGCCCCGAGAGCAGCACGGCATGATCAGAGGTCAGGAAAACAGACCTTATGACAGCAGGCTGAGAGCTATGGGACTCTTCAGCCTGGAAAAGCACAGGCTCAGGGAAGATCTGGTGGCTGCCTATAAGTTTATCAGGGGTGCTCACCAGGGTCTGGGGGAACATCTGTTCACCAGAGCGCCCCAAGGGATGACAAGGTAAAACGGTCACAAACTCCTGCAAGACCGTTTCAGGCTGGACATAAGGAAGAACGTCTTTACTGCCAAGCCCTCAAGGCCTGGAATAGCCTGCCACCGGAGGTGGTTCAAGCACCTACTCTGAACGCCTTCAAGAGAAAGTTGGATGTTTATCTTGCTGCAATCCTATGACCCCAGCTGACTTCCTGCCCCTCGGGCAGGGGACTGGACTCGATGATCTTCCGAGCTCCCTTCCAGCCCTAGTGTCTATGAAATCTATGGTATCAGGCCTTAGTTCAGGAACCAATCACCCATTTATAACACTGTTTCCTATGGGAAATCAGTTCTGAGTTAGAACATTTCTACTTACGACATGGTTTTCAGGAATCAATTATGTCATCATGTCAGGTTTGACCTAGAAACCACTACACAAAGCCCAAGCAAAATTCTCTGTTATGTAACTAATACCCATCTGCAATGATAAGGAGGAGACAGTCTTAGATAAAGGAGGCTTGAAAACAAAAGCAGAATCAGAGGACTAGGGCAAAGAGCTGATTTAAATATTAAGATTCACACCCCTAAGTGGGGAGAAAGTATGCTAATGAAACATACATGTATGGA